CAAGCTTATGGCTATGAATAATGAGAGGGATGAGAAGAAATTCCTTAATAAAGTTCGTAAGCCCTCTTTCAAATATGGACGCCAGTTTAAAGATACATTAGTAAAAGTATATATGGGAAAAGCTAGCGTAACTCTTAACAAGCCTATCATAGTTAGTGCATCAGTATTAGGTCTTAGCAAGCTTTTGATGTATCGCTTCTGGTATGACTATATTAAGGACAAATATGAAGATAAAGTCAAGCTTGGCTATATGGATACAGACTCTTTTATATTCATAACTGAAACAGAAGATATCTATAAAGATATGGAAGAAAGATCAGACTTTTTCGACCTTAATGATTTGAAGACTATTGGGCTTTTCAAAGATGAGTGCTCTAATGAAAAGATGATCATAGAATCAATCCATATCTGAGCAAAGGCTTATCACAATGTCTTAGCTAATAAGATCACGAAGTCTATACATAAGGGAGTTAGTAAGAGGGGTATGAGTGAAATGGCAACAGATACATACTTCCTATCATTAGACAGGTCTTTACTAGATGAACCTATTCTAGAAAACAAGATATTCAATCCTTTGATCCAAGTATATCGGGATTGCCTCTTTAGAAAGGAAGTATTCTATGCTAAAAATATTGGTTTTCGAGCAAAAAATTATATAATATCCCTTATCGAAACAGAAAAAAAAGCTCTTTGTCTAATAAATACTAAGCACTGGATCTTATCTGATAGAATAATCACTTTATCATATGGCATTGGCGTATTATGATTTATAAGAATATGGTCAAAGATGGTATCTCCCATGAAGAGGCTGAAAAAAGAGTTATAAGGGCCAAGCTCCTAGAGAAATATCACTCCTTTGATACTAAGCATCTGCAAGAGAAAATAGATTAAGAAAGAAATACAAGAATACTAAAATTTTAGATGACAAATACCTCTCCCACAGTTCAATAGAACAAGGGGTATGAATGTGTGTTTTACATATCTAGCTCACCAACATAAGCTAGATAGTGATGAGTAGTCAGATCATACATTATTATATTATTTTTTTTCTTGATGCGATAAATATTCAGTTATAGAAAAGATGATAGCTAAACATTTATCTAATAATAGTTTTCAGCATGATCCAGTCTATGATATACACAGCAGAGGATATATTGATGATCTTGTACAAGTACTAATTCTGTACGAACTTTTTAAAAATGTAGAGGACGCAATATCAGCAACTAAAGTATTAGCTAAAATAGTTCTATCTACTAATGTCAGTATAGGTTCGATCAGAAAATATCCAAATTATATTGATATTCTAAATGAATTTTACAATCTAGTAGAGGCATTTTATTATTTGATTCTAAGAGAAAGAGAAGGGTTAGATGGAAAATACCCTCTCCTGTAGTTCGATAGAATAAGGAGGTATAATTATTAGATTTTTTTATTTGATGAAATAAATATCCAGTTAAGAAAATACAACAAAAATGACATACGTAGAATGTAAAGTTTGGCATTTCCAGGGAGATGATGATATGAATCTAAAAAGTCGTCATAAAACAATGAAAGCAGGGTGTAAGCACTATATAGTCAAGGCATTGATTGACACAACTTCTAGTGTAAATAAAATTAGTAAAAGCTTAGCTGATAAGCTTGAAAGACGATATGAAAAGCATTATAAAAATAAAAGAGTGAAAAACTCATTAGGTACTATAGATTGCTTAGATATATCTTTCTGATACAAAGAAAAAGATAGACTGGTCTCTAGTAGTGACGAAGTTTTTAATGATTTTGAAGTTGTTACGAAGTCAGAAAAAGCTGATCTCATATTAGAAATACCATGGTTATGGAAACGTGAAGCAAAAATAGATATGTGAAAAAAAGGATAACAATATATGATGATTTCGTGTCATTTTACAGATATCTAAAAAATAATGAATATTATTATTCAGAAATAGATGAATCCGATTCATCTGAGTCAGAAGTGGAGGAAATAGTTGCATCTGAGTGCAGTTCATTTGAAGGAATAAAAGTCAAATGCTATAAACCAGCCAAGTATGATGCTGATCTTATATGCATAAAAATATTAACTGGAAGCTGATTCTGTGTAATTAGACAAGCCTGAACACAATTTTTATCAGACTACAATCAATCTACAAGGAATAAACATTCAGCTGTCAATTCTGAAAAATAATCGTGTAAAGCGATCACTTGACACTTATAATAGTATATATGTAACTTGATAAATAATGCATAGTAATATTGCTCCTTTGATACTAAGCATATGCAGGAGAGGTTAAGAAAGAAATACCGCCCTTTGATGCTAAGCATCTGCAGGAGAAAATAAACTCATAAATAAATGCTATTCAGACAGGGAAAATATTTTGGATGACAAATGTCTTTCTCACAGTTCGATAGAACAAGGGGAAATTTTGGATGACAAATACCCTCTCTCACAGTTCGATAGAACAAGGGGTATAATGCTATATTATTCTTCAAATCATCCGAGCCCAGTTCATCTGAAGAAATAGAGGAGGTATAGCTAAAAAAAAATGAGGAATAATCAGTACAAGACCGAAGGTAAGTTTACTACTAACCCTACGCAGTATTTTCCATTATGCAATCCTATCAAATATGAGTACATATATAATAAAACGAGAGGTTTTATTATTGTCAAGAATATAAAGGAAGATAGGGTAGTAGATGTGTTTGATTATTCTGAATTGAGTGAATATCTAGAGTCGGGTACTCATCATTAATAATATTTTTTCAATTAAAGATATAGGCTCATATAGTAAAGTATGGGATTTAATATCAATTTGCACAATATGAAAAGTTTAGATAAAATTATAGAAACTGCAAATAAAAATATTAAAAAGGTGTTTCTAGCAGGGGTTGCACCTGAATTTCGACAAGAAGCCTATATAATTGGTTTTAAATTAACATTGGATAGATTAGCACAGGAAGTAGACACAAAAAGGGCTTTTTGGTACAAAAAGCCTGAATGACTTCAGAAGGTCATCCTGGGTATTACAAATTTCATATATCAAATTTTACATATCAAATTTTTCTACTTTGGCACGTTCCTGTCTGAAACCTTTTTGGAATCCATCTTGGGTAACAAATTTTTTCACATATATGAACGCTAAACATGAAAGTAAATAGTGTTCGCAGACTGCGGAGCGAAGCAGAGTATGTACACAAGATATGAAAGTAAATAGTGTTCTCAGTTTGTGGAGCAAAGTGGAGCATATATACAAGATATGAAAGCAAATAGTGTTTGCAGACTGCGGAGCGAAGTGGAGTATATACATAAGATATGAGAGCAAATAGTGTTCTCAGTCTGCAGAGCGAAGCGGAGCATATACACAAGATATAAAAGCAAATAGTGTTCACACTCTGTGAAATGAAGCGGAGCATGTACACAAGATACGATCACATGGTTGCGAAGCAAAGTGGTGCATATATGCAAAACTTGAAAAAATTATATGATAAAAATGCATACATATTGGGTTCCAAGAACATTTCCAGAATTTCCTCAGCACTAGCCCATCACTAACCCGTCACTAGCCTGAATTTTTGTAAGCTTTTGACGCTGATAAAAATCTTGAATGTGATATTTACCTGCATGTTTCCTACAAGCACTATAAATAGAGAAAGTTAATTTTCCGCATTCTATATACGGAATTTGTCTAGGAGATTTCCAATGGACTTTACACCCTTCTGGACGATAGCACCCCTCATTGCACACTTTTCCAGTCCTAAGAATATATAAACAATTATAAAATCCCATTCTAATAGTCTCTTCTTTTTGAATAAATATGTAACTTAAAGATGGTCCCTATAATTATTTTCAAATTTTAATTGAGTTGCAACTTAATTGCGACATAAGGAAATTTAATTACACCACAAGTTGTAACTCAATTGCACCATTTTTTTTAATTGCGGTGACCATCTTTAATGTAACTCTAATTATTCAAATAAATTAATTTTTATTTTAAACTTTTTGTAATCATATATAATCTTTAGAAAAATATGAGTGGATTACTTAGTAGTATCACTAGTGCATTAAGACAATTGTTCAGAAATCTCTAGGGAGATCCGATACCACCTGAGTTGCTCGAACCTTCCAAGCTACCAGAAGAAGACTCAGAGTCGGAAGGGGACAGCGACTATGAGACTATCTTAACTTACCAAAATATTCAAAATGCAGAAACAAGATGGTATTCAGCAATTCGAAGATTCCTATTTTGGAGAAAGAAAGGTAAGGATGTTGAGTTCTATAATGGGAGTATACAATGGATAGGTTCCGAAAATGACTTCCGCGATTTATCACAAGACTGGTTCTTAATCAAAGCTAATTCAAATGAAACACTTCAGAAGGCTCATAAACGTTATAATGAAGAAGCAGATGCAATTTCATGGCGGAGTGATAGTCAAATACATTTACGAAAAACTGGAACTTATGCTATGACAAGTTTGCGTTTCTTTCAGGATGTTGTTAGAGGCCCTAGAAAAGCTGAAGACTTATCATAAGAAGAAGATCATTGGATAAAATCGGCCTACATAGGAGGCTTAGTATGTGCTGAACCTTATGAAGGAACAGCGACTGAGATGGATTATAATGAATTTTATCTAGAGATTTTAGCTAGTTTTAGTGCAGGCTGGCTAATAGGTCCAGGAGAATTTAGAACATTCCTATACATTAGCGTTAACCCTATTAACTATAATCTAAAATATGGAATTTATCATGCTTTTATAGGAGACTAACCAGTGAATCAAAAATATACAAGGGCATTTTGCTATAACCCTACAGGATATTACACTCACTATGACTTAAAATTAGCAATAGATCTAGGTCTTCATGTAGAATTATCCTCTGAAAGTCCTAATACTCTAGTATTTGAGCAAAATAAACTCATGAGTAGTAAAGATATTTTCTATTAATAGGCAAGTTTTCTTATAGAAATAAAACATGAAGGCGGACAGGCAGGTAAAGTTGCTAAGCATATGTTAGTATCACTCTGGGGACGATTATACTCAGATGGACGAAGACCAGGTCCTCATCGACGCATGGCACCATTTATTTTAGCAAAAGGACATAAAATTATTTCAGAAAAAATTAGACCTTTAAGTGAGCGTGTAAAGAGAATCTATATAGATGGATATATTATTTCAGGCAAAGCTATTGATCAGATACTTGGAATAGAATATGTAGGTAGAAGGAGAGAGCAAAAAGTTGTAAAAACAGGCATCGTATTGATAAAAAATGTGGCAAATTTAAGATGGATTGACTTTGAAGAAATAGTTCTTCCAACATCAGCGAAATCGGAAAAATCACCTATCCATTACTTATCTTTGCTAAATGAAATTATAGATAAGATTTTCTAATATTATAAAAGAAATAGGGGCGAAAAATTACATCCTCTTTTATTAGTTAATAAGCAATGGTACCATATTACTAGTAGACTAATATGGCAAAGAATAGTCTTAACAAGCATTTCCAGAGTCAAGTTCATTAAGACATTAAGCAAAAATACTAAGCCAGTCACATGTAAACAAGTGCTAGGTCTAAAATTTATTGGAGAAATAAATATAGAGCTAGATGTGTACATTTTCGAAGTGTGTAAGGCATGTCCAAATTTACAATGGCTAAGTTTTGAAAATAGTAGGTCACGTATACTTAACAATGAAAATCTAGAAGTGCTTTTAACTGAGTGTCCTAATTTAAAAAGACTCACAATAAGAGGTTTTAGACGCTTAAGCCCAAAAACATTTTTAAAAATTCCAAAACTAGCCACTAAATTGGGAGTGATAGAAATTAGGGATTGTTTGCAGATTAGAGATAACATAAAAAGCGATTTTCAAAACTTATACCCAAAAATAAAACTTATATATGAAGAGGAATAGCTTAATAAATAATACGCAGTAATATTATGGTAAATGTTACATATATCACAGGAATAAGCAACTACGCATAATAATTTGTTCTTAAACTTTCTCGCACATTCTCAAAAATATGTATAACCCTTAATGATCTTTACATATGAATAATGTTAAATTTTTTGACAAAGCACCTTTGACTGATCATCCGTTAGGTTAATTTGCAACTCAGGATTGTTCAGTGAAGATCTAGGACTTTCATGTTTTGCGATGATCAACTGTGAAAGGAATATAATTATAAAAATGGTAGATGTATAGGAAGGTTTAGGTAGGAAAAAAAAAATAAAATCAAATAAATTTTATTGCCGAAGTCATCCAGACTCTTCGAACTATCAAACTTCATATTTTATCATTTTCTAAAACTATTCCTCCAACAAGAATAATTCTGCATATAACAAAATCAAACTAAATCAATCTAAAATAATGTTCTCAGATATTTCTTTGTTCGCTGTTTTCAGCATCATA